TCATGTTTGTAGTCGACCAATGAAGATGAGTTTACATATCACCTTGGGTTCGTCCTTCACCTTCTCAAAATGATCCCACACTTTGGATTTCCTGCCCGACATGTTATTAACTAGCCTGTGGAATAACCGCAGGTACCAGCCCTGGAAATTAACCTGTTTCCTTTTTGACTGCTGAGCGTGGACACTTCCTGTGTCTGTCCTTTCAAATTTAAGTCCGTTTCTGGTCGACTAAAGTTTGGTTGACTATTAGGGGGCAGTCCTAGTAGTATGAAAATGGGAATTGAGCGCTTCACTTTTTCAGATTTCAGGATGTATCTATGACTGCACAAAGCTGTTAATTTTTTCATGTGTGCACTGCTTCTCACTCATACAGTGATGGTTTGTTTGCTCGTTTGCAGGTCATCCACCAGTTGAAGCAGTTGGGCACAGTGTGGCAGGATGTCCTACCAGTCAGCATCTATTGTAAAGCCATGGGCAACCTCCTCAACACAGCCATCATGGAGGTCATCGCCAAAATCATGATGCTGGAGGTTTGTCTCTCCTTTTTTAAATCACAGTCCCTCAACATAAATAAAGGACTTTTCTTGAGCACTGAAAGAGGTCTGAGTTTGGAAAGATCATGCTTTGGTTTAAAATACCAGGTTTTGATGGTACTATCCCAGCAGGTTTTCATCTGGTGACTGGGCTGTGATGAAATACACAAATTTGTTAAGTTCACAAGCAGAACAGTTAAAGTATCTTGGTGAGATTTGAAAAGGAGTTTTACATTACTGATGATCAATAAGGATTTTAATTCTCACTTTACCGTCTGCAGGATATTTCCTCTGAGGATGGGGAGCACCTCCACACACTGTGCCAAACCATCATCGAGGAAGGTCCGCTGGTCTTCATCCCTCTGGCCGAGGAAAACAAGAACAAGAAGTATCAGGAGGAAGTGCCTCTCTATGTGAGGAAGTGGAGTACCTTCAAGGAGCTGGTCATCGTGCTGCGGGCCAATCTGCAGGAGATTGTTGACAGGTAAGAAGAAAACATGATAAAGTAGAAATACGATAACGATTTGACCAGTTGAGTTGCAGGTGATGCCATCAGCTGGCTTGAGTCAAGCTCAGACCGGCCAGTTCACACTGCTGCGACTTTTCTCTGCAACGTTCTAAAATGGTTTTGTCTCGTCGTGAATCTTTGGTCTGACCTGGGCATAAGTGACACTGTGCAACTCTAAAGACTGCAGTTAGCAAGACACAGGTTTTTTTTTTTTTTTTTTTTTTTTTTTCCCATAAGGGTGGTCAAAGCTGAAGCAGCTAAGGTCGAGATCTCCTGACTTTTAGTCCTTGAGCTAATCTAACTTCAAACTCACTGCCACAGTATCTTACGTTTATGTCAGTGCCTCTTTAACATTCAATAAAAGGGCTTCTGGTCACCATCATACTTTTGTTTTTCATCAATGTGTGTGATTGGCTGATTTGTCTTTGTTCCTCTCCACAGGTGGGCTGACAGTAAAGGTCCGCTGGCGTTGGAGTTCTCCAGTTCGGAGGTGAAGAATCTGATCCGAGCCTTGTTCCAGAACACAGAGAGAAGAGCTGTAGCTCTAACCAAAATCAAATGAACGACACTATAGCACTTTTTCCTCTGAGGAAAATATGAGTCATGCCTTTATTCATTTCCGTTTTCTGTTGCATTAAATATGCATTTACATGTAAGTAGGATGAACAGTTTGTCTCAGAGACATCGCTGCTGTGTGACTGAGGTGCTGTCGCTGTGCGTATATAAGCTGGTTGTAATCAATCTGTGGGATGTGTTCCTCCTCGGCATTCAGACTGCAATTAGTCCCACAGAGATTACACCACAGCTTCTTTACATCAGCAGTCATATAGCTTTGGGGCTTTACCACAACAAAGCCAACTGAAGGTTGTGTAACCAGTGGCCCGCCATCTGTTGACGTGTGTGTTGTAGCCAGGGTTAACTTTGCTGAACATTGTTAATCAAACTTCATCTGCAGCTTGTCTCAGCTTTTCTATACTGATGTCATTTCAGGAGGTCATTTGGGTTTGTTTGAGCCCAAACATCTCTCAACAACCATTTAGTTCTGTCTAAGATCCTCTGGACCTTTCATCTCTTGTCAATAGTTTTTATTGTGCAAGCCATTAATCTGAAGTCTTCTACAATGTATTTATTACTGGTCCAAATAAACCAAAAGACTCAACTTTTCAGAACCTTTTCCAAACTGTTTGTATTTGATGAATATGATGATGATGTTCGAGCCATACTGTCAGTACACAAAGCTTTTTATGCTGTTGGGGAGAAATTGCAGCTTAATCCCGTCATAACGTTTCAAGTCCAGGAAGCACCTGGTTCAGCTGCATGCTGTCAGTGCATGTGGGAGAAACATCTGAACTCCTGGGGCTGTAAGAAATGTAATTTTTATATGCGTCCGTGCCAGTGATAGTCGTGCCTAGAGACATTACATTTTCAGGTTCATGTGTCCGTCCCATTCTTGTTATGTCCCCGGTCTAGGGTAACCTAGACATAACATGCTGTCACTCCCCACTCTTCCCACTCCCATTAAAGGCCAGTTACACAGCATTTTAGACGACAAAGTAAGCAGTTTATTTAAATTCAGACTAGAGCAGTGCCCAAAGCAACAAACAAAATACACTCATGGACCCTGAACTTCCCTAACAAAAAGAAAAACAAATGTGAGACCAAAGACAAGTTTCTAACCTAAATTTCTGCCGTTCAAAACAAGACAAAAGAACATTGCAGTGCTGAAGAAAAAGGGCTTCTCGCTCTTAGTAAGACTGCTTAAAGTGCTCTGTCGTGCCCCACCCATGAGCAGCCTTATGAGCCGAGCAAAACTCCAACACTCACCCAAAACAACCACATAAGACACCTTTAAAACAATCAAATCCATGGGATTTATTAACAAATAAAACAAGCAAGCAAGGCAGCTCATCTGGGCAGATCTACAATGGATGGAAAAGGGACAGTAGCAAAGAACACATACAGTGATAACACTGTGAATCAATATCTCAAAAACGCCTCGGGGGAATTCCTTCACATTTGGCACAAATGTCCACTTGGACTCAGCAATGAACTGATTAGAATTTGTTGGCCATAGGTCTCATTCTTGTGAACACGATATCTCAAGAAGGCCTTGAAGAATTTCTTCAAATTTGGCACAAACGTCCACTTGGACTCAGCGATGAACTGGTTAGAATTTGGTGGTTGAACATCAAAGGTTACTCTGAGCTCACAAAATGTTTTTGGCCATAACTCAAGAATTCTTGCGCTTATTATGACAAAACTTAACACAACAGGAGAAAATGATGAAGTGATGGCATTTTATATCCCAAAGGTCAACTTCACTGTGACATCATAATGTTCTGCATAAAACACTTTTCTGTCCATTATTCAGTATCATATCTCAGGAACAGAAGGGGAGACATTTGGTCAGATACTGAATTGGTGACTTGGTAACTTGAAACTGTGCTGATTGTATAGATCTTCTGTGTGTGAAGCATCCATGTTTTCACTGACATGAATGGAAACTAACAGCAGCTTGACAGGCTGGCGGAGACACAACTGCAAGGCAGTTCTGTTGACATTATCAACGAGGCCTTGAATTTCCTTCGTCTTATTCTATGACTTTATTAATCTTTTATAGACCTGTTTCAGGCAAGTAAAACAGTTCTAACTTTGTTAAGAAAAGCGGTATTTTAATTTAAGTTCATTATCATACATTCTAATAGTTATTTTATTGTCACATTGCTGTCTGTGGAGCTGCAACAGACAAAACATGCAGTGTTTGGAGTTTTGTCAGCATTGTCTCAGTGAATGACGCCGGGGGGAGGAGACACAGAAACAGCTGGACAGTCACAACAGCAGCTCCTCACTCGCTCCACGTCTCCTCCTTCATCTGATCAAAGCTGATGACTCCAACAAGGAGGTTAACGTCTGGCAGCAGCTATATTCATCTGAAGATATGCTTCACAGAGGTTTGCCATTCATTTCTCTTTATGTTATGATCTATTCAGTGGACAAATCAGTGGTAAAAATATGGATATTGGACATTTTATTGATGCAAAGATGTTAATATTTCCAGAATATGTTAATAGTATTCATAACTACCAGATTTTATTTTAATTTTTTGCAGTCTGAAGTACGTGTAACAGTGTGACCTTAGTTACGACTGTCCTGTTATAAACTTAAGTGATTTACTACCTCAAGTACTTAAGTTAACTCGATTATGTTGTGTAATTAAGCTGAGTGATACACAGTGGTGCAATATATGTGTTTTTGGTGTTGCTTTATTTTACGGCTGCAATTTTAGAGATAAGAATACCAATTTATTATCAATATTAATTCTGTTGATTATTTTCTCTATTAATTGATTAATTGTTTAATCAGAAAATAGTAAAAAATGGTGAATCCGGTTTCTCAGATTCCAAAGTGACATCTTCAAATGTCCAATAAGAAACCCCAAAACAGCTTTATACAGTTTATCACATTACTTGAAGAACCGATCAATCATTAAAACAATTTGTGATTATTTTCTCTCCACCATCTGATTGATTAAACGACTCTTGTCTGCTCTGAATATTTTAATTTCAAGAGGTTTCTTTGACTGATTTGCTACTAATGTGTACAGTTGGTACTCTTCTACCTAACTGCAGTAACTCTTAGTATTCCTCAATGAGCACTATAAAGTCAGCTAAACATGCAAACATCATGTGACATTTGTCTGCCGGCAATTCAACGTATTTGAAGTTTTTACTAAATCAAATAAAACCAAATAATAAATAAAGTTTATTTATATAGCACATTTAAAAACAACTGCAGTCGACCAAAGTGCTGTACAAATTAAAAGAATGGAACACAAATATTTAAAATTGATCATGAGGGAATTCCTATTTTCCCTGCTTTCTAAGGAGCTTAGTTAGGAAATAACATTACTGCATCAGGTATTTTTACTTTCAATAATATCACTTTAAACTGTTGTACACTTTTATGATTAAACTCCAGTTTATTATTGTTATTGTGAATGTGTTACCTGTAGGTTTCCCACTTGAACCCAGTTATGAATGTAACGGAGGTGTGTTTATCACCCAAAGCCAGATCATGAAGAATCAAAGGTTACACTGGTATAAAAAAGGAAAATTAAGTGTATTTGTACATGATAGTTAACATACAAATTATAGCACATGTGGATATTTAATTATTTTGTGTAGTTATGTAGGATATCTGACGTCTCTGTGAGCATATCTTTTTCCTTGCCACTTGTGTTTACACTAAAAACTATGCATAGGGTTAGTGGACAAAGACGTTTTTAGTATTTAAAAAATTGTTTCATTCACATGTTTTATTAGGTTGACAACTTATTTTAAGAAGTTGGTCAAAATCTAAAATATTTTTGACATTTTTGAGAAGGATAGAATTCAAATAAATGAGTTATCTTGAATAAAATATCAACTTTTGGATAAATATTTTGGATATTATTAAATGACCGTTTTCAAGGTAAAGCAAATCATGTTGATTGCACTAAACTAACTTAGTTTGTCAGATTATGAAAGACTCGTAGGATTGACTCAGACACTCACTTAAAAAGATGGATGCAAATTTACACCTAAATTTTTTGTAAGTTGAACCAGTGTATTATTTTTCAGAGTGTAAGTATGGACAGGACATATTTCGCCCTCCATACGTCAGGAGATACAAAAGCAAAACAAATCACAGCACCAGAACATTAGAATTAAATCGACTCATTTTAAGAGGACCAGTTCCCTCGCAGTAAAATCCTGCCCATCTGATTGGCTCCCCTGAACAGCTGCAGCACACAGCTGGGTCACACATGTGATGTCGATCGTGTCAGTGTTGTGATACATTAATCACAGTGCTGTAGAAGAAACAAGTGAATTTACCACAGTTCACTTGGACACATCTGGACAATACTTGGTCTAAGCCTTCAGGCAAATACAGTCAGTAATCTTTTCAAATCCATCGTGTTCTTTGGTGTTTCTCCGATTAATTTTTAGGATTAGTGATAATCCCTGTATGTGTAATAAACTGGAGCCGGGCCTCAGACGCTGATCAGCCCACTTCAGGCGGATGAAACCTTCGTGTTGTGCTGATAAAGAAGTAAAGCAACGTTTGCTTTTGGCATGTCATCACACACCAGCACAGCTCAGGCTCTCAGGGATTTTTTTCTTGGAAGGGAAGGCTGTATAGGTTGAGAGAATTTAATATACTGTACATGTCCCATTGAATGACATTCTCAAAACCTCTTGAGTTGAGTCACCAATTATTATATTCTTGTCCATTTTCACAAACCCTTGTAGAAGTATGAAAGCAGCACCAATGAGAGATTTATTTGCCATGTCAGCTCCGTTGAAAACTGACACATCTGACGTCATATTATTGAATTTTGTGGCCCAAACAGAAGCAGAACCTGGCAAGAAATCAACATCTGGAGAACCTCAGCAATGATCTCCACTGTGACGCTACAGAACATTCAGTGCAACAGTCACATCAGGAGCCCCGTCAGGACCGAGCCTCGCAGGAACTCCATTCCCCCAACGCAGGCTCGAACTGCTAAACACCTGCTGGCATACCTGCCTCGACCGCAGTCTGAGTCAGTCCGCTACACTCCTTACACTTACAAGGTACAGCTGTCTTTATTATATGATATCATCTGTGCAAAAATGTGAGTGGGTCTGAAGGGGGCATCCCCAAAAGGTTGTTCACAAGCAAGGATGGTCACTTTGCAAAAAAATTTTGTGGGCAAACAGTCAAACAGTTTAAGAACAACATATTTCAACGCACAATTGCAAAGAATTTAATGATTTCACATCCACAATCTATGATATCAGAGAATCTGGAGAAACCTCTGCATGTAAGGGGCAAACCAGTATTGAATGTTCGTGACCTTTGACCCCTCAGGCTGCTCTGCTTTAAAAACCAACATGACTGTATAAAGGATATTACCACATGGGCTCAGGAACACTTTAGAAAACCACTGTCAGTAAACACATCGCTGCACTTCTCTGAGCCCGAGCTCATCTGAGACGGACTGACACAAAGTGGTCTGACCAGGTCACCTCCATCATGGACGTCGTGTCCTCCGGGCTAACGAGGAAAAGAACCATCCAGATTGTTACCAGCTCAAAATTCAAAGCATCTGTGATGGTATGGAGGTGTGTTAGTGCCCATGGCATCATGGGTAACTGTGAGGGCTCCATGAATGCTGAAAGGTACATACAGGTTTTGGAGCAACATATGCTGCCATCCAGACGATGTATTTTTCAGGGACGTCCCTGCTTATTCCAGCGAGACAATGAAACACATGGTGTATGTGTTTCAACAGCGTGGCGTCGTAGTGACAGAGTGCAGGTACCAGACTGACCTGCCTGCAGTCCACACCTGTCTCCTACTGAACATGTGTGGAACATTATGAAGCACAAGACACAACAACAGAGACCCCTGACTGTTGAGATGCTGAAGTCGTATATCAAGCAAGAAAACTTCAACAGTTCGTGTCCTCAGTCCCCCAAACGCTTATCAGTTTGGGGGCGCCGGTGGCTTAGTGGTAGAGCAGGCGCCCCGTGTATAAGGCCGCTGCTGCAGTGGCCCAGGCTCGACTCCAGCCTGTGGCCCTTTGCTGCGTGTCACTCCCCCCCCCCCCCC